GGAGCTTGAGAGGCTGAGGGGACTGTCAGCGCCTGCCCGGGGCCCTCTGTGGGCTGGGAATCGGCGTCCTGCAGCTTAAACCACGAGTGGGGGACAAGGGGGGGGTGTCCCTAAAGCTGCGGCCGGCTCAGCGGGGGATAAATTACAGCCGGTGTAATTCCTGCCTAATTTAGCTTAATTGCACCAACTGACAGGCAGTTTTCATGTTAAAAAACCCCCAACGCTCTCAAGGCAAACAAGCTTGCTGTTGCGCAAGCAAACTGGGGAGCAGTTGAAGAGCTTACTCACTTTTTCAGGGCCCGTTGTCCCGCAGAGAGGCTGCAGCAGTGCGGGTTTTGGGTCACGGTGCGTATTTTGGGTCATGTTCCCCCTCGTCAGCTGCACTGGACCACGTAGTGCTCTGTCTGCATCGCTGGGTCGCAAGGTTTGGTGCTGAGGGCACCGAAATGCCCTTTTTCTGGCTGTAAATTAGCAACAATCAGTAATAAAACAACCATAACTCCTCATCTTCCGCTCCCACACGCACACGGTTTAACTTGCAGAAATCAGCGAAGCGAGCGGTCTCCTGTTACCTTCTCTGCTGAATCAGGTGTTTTGTGGTAGGAACTGACAGCCTTTTCCATTTAGAATAGGAAAAGTTGGGAACCAGAAGCGAGTCGTGGGTGTGCTGCTGGGCTCCTGGCAGAAGAAGATACTGGACGTGTCCAACAGCTTTGCAGGTGAGTTTGGGTGTCCTCCCCGTGTCCAAACCTGCTGAATTATTGAACAGATGACTTGCACTCGGGCTTTTTTAAGCCACCCTGTCAGAGCACGGATCGTTCCCTCCATGTATCTGACAACAAAACCCCCCTGGCTGCTGTCACAACTACACCTATTGCAGCCAGCCTTGTGCAGTTAAACACTAGTTCTGGTATGTTTTTAAGTGTTGAAATAGTTTACTCTTAGATAGTTACATGTGATAGTAAAAGTAGCTCTTGAAGGCACAGCCTTGGCTGGCCCGTTTGTGTTCATTAAGGCATTTTCTTCGCAGTGATTCCCTCTGTGACAAAGCAAAACGATCTCAGTCTGTATATGGAGTTTCCCAGTTTATGTGAAGTTCTTCTCCCAAGTGTGGACTGTTTTTATTCCCAATTTTTAAAGGAATTTTTTTTCATTTGAGGTGAATAGAGGGGGGTTTTTTGGCCGTTTTGACAGCCTCTCAACCACACACATCTCTTCCTATGCCTGTAAATTAAAAGACTGAGACCTTGGTTTTCAGAACTGCGCCTGTAAACGTGCTACCTGATGAAATAACTAGCCCTTTACTCAAGGGTGAATATTAAAGTGCCTCCTGGTGCTCTGTGAACGCGCTGGTGACGTGTTCTCCACTGAAAACTGGGTTTTCAGACTGCTGGGATGCTCAGTTTGTGGTCTCAGGTGTCTGTGCCCTCACTTGTGGACGTGGGAGGATTTCTCCTCGCTGCTTGGTGTTGCCCACTGAGGATAACCCAGTTATCTCCCCAGTTCTGAACTGGCAGCTACCCAAGAGAATTGCCTGCACTGCAGGGCAGCTTGTGCAGCCTGGTGTTGCCAGACAGCTGAAACTGGTTAAAATCTCCCTTCAGCAGCCAAAGACACCCTAAACCACCGTGTTTCTGTGAGCATTTTCAGCCTGGAGGTTGCATTCTGCCACAGTGACGTTTTGTTTTGTCCCCAGTACCTTTCGACGAGGATGACAAGGATGACACCGTGTGGTTTCTAGACCACGACTATCTGGAGAACATGTACGGGATGTTCAAGAAGGTCAACGGTAAGTTGAGGTTGTCCTGCCAGGGATACACTCCTAGAAACTTTGGAGACTGTGTAGGAAAGTGAAGTCATCGTAAGGCTGAGAGTGAATTGCTTCAGAAGCCATCCCGTGCTCGTCCCCTGTGTGGCTTCACTTTCAGTGATGGTTTCCATGGGTTAATTTGTGCAAGAAGTTCATATTCTTAACATATTCATTTATACCTGGTTAGTTTTCTCCTGACAGCTTTGTGTCTTATTCAGACTCCAAAACTGCCATCGTTTCTGAAGCATTTCAAGGGTTTCTCCTCTATAACCTGTTCTGTGCAGGTGTGCCCTGAAATGGCATTTTTATGAATGTGAACATTACAGTTTGAAGTAGTGATTTCTCACTGCTCTTCACCACTGTTTTACAAAGTGTCTTCACTGCTGAGTTGGAGACTTTACAGCTGAATGTTCACTCATACCTTGAATTCCTATGGGTTTTCTTAGCCCTGGGAGCAGTTGGCATTCTCATGGTTTTTTGTATCTTTAGATGTCAGAGTTGCAAGCTACCAAATCCTGGTGTCTGCAAAATTAATAACTGATATGAAATAGTCCAATTTAGCTAAGAACCTATGAGTAAAGTTACAAATGTGATCAGTAAGCTATGATAAGTATGGTTAGCAAACTCTATCACCAGCCGTATCAGTGCCTTGCCTACTGTGATTCATTGTCCCCTACTTTACACTCATTTCTACATTCATCAGATTTTCACCCCAATTTGCTAATTCAGCCTCTGCCGCTGTCTCACCACTCAGTTCTGATCTCCAATCCTTTCTGGTTTTGCTCAGCTAGAGAAAGAATAGTTGGTTGGTACCACACAGGCCCCAAGCTGCACAAGAACGACATCGCCATCAATGAGCTGATGAAGAGATACTGCCCTAACTCTGTAAGTGCGGCGCTTTGGGGCGTTTTGGTTTGGTTCTTCCCCTCTCTGTTCCTAAATGGGGGATCTGGGAACCCCTGGCCCCACTTCTGTTGCTGGTGACACAGTGCATTAAAGACCTGGTGGCTCTGGAGTGACTGGGGAGCTCAGAGCCTTTGGAAGCAGCTGGAGATGCCTGAAGTGGGCACCACAGAGCAGCCAGCGTCCATTGCTGGGGCTGAAGGGGATTTTTTCTCTGTTCTTTGAATGCAACCCGTTTTTCTGTTTGCTTTTCCCATCAGGTGTTGGTGATTATTGACGTGAAGCCAAAGGACCTCGGGCTGCCCACAGAAGCTTATATTTCAGTGGAAGAAGTTCACGATGTGAGTACGGTTTGATGTGTCTCTGCCTTTTCCTAGGAGAGGGGTTTCCTCTCAGAGGTGCTGTTAGGATCGCCTTGTTTTCTGAAGGACGCGCATCCCGTGGTTGAATTGACTCATGGGATGTTGTGCTCACTGCTGAGGGCCTGTGACTCACAGCCACAATCTGCTGAAACCAGAGGTTAAATCCCAGCCTCTGTAACTAAAGCTGTCACCCAGCTTTTCCCATTGGAAGAAAAGCCACGTGTTTCTGTTTGAAGGACTCCACAGCTCCAGCTGTCCCTGTGATTGAGACATTTCTACCTCTTTGTGTCATGTCCTTGGCTATGGAGAGTCACAGATTGCAGCACTTCTGTCACCCGTACATGTCAGCAGAGGTGTCCTGAGTAATCCCTGGTTTATTTGTGCGTGGCTGGTGCTGAGTGGGGAGCCCAGGTGTGAACCACGCTCATCATCTCTGGCAGCGCCGTGCAGACAGCGCAGCAGTGAGTCAGCGTTCGGTGTCTGGGCTGGGTTACATCTGGAGGTGCATAACCAACCAGTCTGATCCTCTCGGCTTGCTCAGGCTCTGAGCTGCTCCCAGCACCGCAGATCTCGTAACTGCAGGGTTTGTTCTGGTTTGGGAACTCACAGGAGTTCCCCTGGTGCTTTCTGTTCACAGCTCTGTACTGGGCCAGGTTTTGGAAACACATAAAACTCATTCTCAGGAATCCAGCCTGTGAATCTTTTAAACACAGCCCTTAATTACCAGTGTCTGAATTGTCATTTTAATGAGGTGATTGCTCCATAGTATTTACTTTGTTTCCTGGAGCTGTCTATGTGCTTCTGACTGGCTGAGAGCAAACATCAGGATATCAAAGGGATCCCAAAATTTAACAAGGTTGTGTTGGGAAATGAAGCAATAACGATGACATGTAGCGAGGATTTCCATTCTACCCACCAGTGCATAGACCAGCAAAATACCTTAATTGAAAATTAATGCAGAAGCAAGCATAGAGCAGAAGGAAGAAGAAACTTCTAGCACCCCTGGTCTTTGGCAGTTGGCTTTTTCTTGGTTTAATTAGTGCTACCAACTCGAGCCTTTCCTCTGATTTCTTGTGGGCTGCATGTAACTGCCTTCCTGCTTTCATTAATAGTTTCTCATACTCTAAAATGCCATGTTTTTAAAGGCCTTGTGGTTCACTGGCACCCTGCTCCCCTCAGCTGTGAGCCCGAGTCCCCCATTGTCCTGTTTTGCCATAATTTGCAGCAGTTGCCGTTAGTGCAGCGCTGTGACCGCGTCTCTGTGCTCTGTGCAGGACGGCACCCCCACCTCCAAGACCTTCGAGCACGTCACCAGCGAGATCGGCGCCGAGGAGGCCGAGGAGGTTGGTGTTGAGCACTTGCTACGGTAAGCACCAACAGCGCCACGGCGTTGTTATGCACATGGCATCTCCCAGGGCCGCATCCCGGAGGAAACAGGGATCCTGTTCAACATCTAACAGCGTGCTCACTTAGCGGCTCGCCTGGCACCTTCCCTCTGCTCGAGAAACCTGTGACTGCCCGCTCCAGCAGAGGAAAACTGCATTTTCATTCTCTCAAAGCAGCAAAGCGCTGCGTGGTTTGGAGCCGTCTCCAGCCACTGCGTCCCAACCAGAGCGGGGCTGTCCCCAACCAGAACAGAGCAGGGCTATCCCCAACCAGAACAGAGCAGGGCTGTCCCAACCACACCAGGGCTGTCCCACCCAGTGGGGCACTGCTGGGGCTGTAGCTCCCCAGGTGGAAACAGAGCAGTCACAAACCAGAGAGCTGGGAATCCTGCTGATCATTTCTGTCTGTAACTGCTGTCACAAATCTTACTCCAAAGAGAACGTGCGCACACCACAGGATACAACAGGGATCTATTTTAGGTGTGTGTTGTAACACGTCAGCTCGTTCTCATTCTGTGACTTGAAGCACGCAGTTTTAACTGCACCGCAGCCGTGTTTCAAGCAGTGCTGCTCTCTTAGAGCCCTGTGCCCATCTGCCAACACCCACTGACCCTCTCACGCTGGTGTTTTCACGGTTTTCAGAGATATCAAGGATACGACGGTGGGCACCCTGTCCCAGCGCATCACCAACCAGGTCCATGGCCTGAAGGGACTGAACTCCAAGCTTCTGGACATCAGGAGCTACCTTGAGAAAGTGGCCATGGGCAAGCTCCCCATCAACCACCAGATCATCTACCACCTCCAGGACGTCTTCAACCTGCTGCCCGACGTCAACCTGCAGGAGTTCGTCAAGGCCTTCTACCTGAAGACCAACGACCAGATGGTGGTGGTTTACCTGGCGTCCCTGATCCGCTCCGTGGTTGCCCTGCACAACCTCATCAACAACAAGATTGCCAACAGGGACGCGGAGAAGAAAGAAGGACAGGAAAAGGAAGAAAGTAAAAAGGAGAGGAAAGACGAGAAGGAGAAGGACAAGGAGAAGAGCGATGGCAAGAAAGAGGAGAAAAAGGAGAAAAAGTAAAATGTGTAGTTTTTTATTTGTAAATTAAAAAAAAAAAATCTTGTAAACTAAGCCACGTGGGTGCTGGGTTCTTTTGTTGCTCGGCTTCCCCCCTGTTCTGGTGCTTGCTCTTTGTGGTCAAAGTTTGTGACTGTCAAACTGCAGCCGTTGCACCAAGCCAATGGCCACTGCGGGGCAGGGTGGGCAGTTTGGGGCTCAGCACGGGGCATTTTTAATTCCAGGGGGAAACTTTAATTAATTTTCATTAGGGCTGCACTGCGCCTTCCAGGACTTCTAGGCCAAGAGCTGAGGATTTCTACCACATACCAGGTTAACCCTCACACTGGGCACTTGTCCTACCCTGCACTGAGCTTCCATCCACTACCACCCCTGAGCTACCACCACTTCCATCGCTCATTTGTGAGCAGAAGAGGAGGCACCGAGTGCTGGAAGCGCCATGGAGCGAGCAGCAAAGCGGCCACTGCTGCTGGCTGAGCTGAGCAGGGTTGGTTTGGTGCTGGAGGTTTCACAACCACCGCCAGCCCGTGCTCATCCTCCACCTGATTTTGTTCCATCGCCACTGCTGCTCTGGGTGGTTCCAGCCCTGGCAAAGCTTCCCAGAGCCATTTTTAGCCAGAGGTGATTATAGGTTGGGTGAAGGCAGGAGCGCTGCGCCCAGCCCGACCCTCCCACACAACACACACCGTTGATGGCCCCATCGCTGCCGTTCAGCTGTGTCCTCACACAGACACCACAGGGGCTGCACCACGGTGTCCCCACACGTGTGTGACACAGCGACCAGGAGATACACACCCCAAACAGGGAGCCCACACACCCACCAGGGACACCACACACCAACTGTGAACCCTACGCACCCACCAGAGACCCCACACACTCTCCCCAGGGACCCACAAACCGACCATGGACCTGCACCTCGGCAGCTGCTCATCATTTATTGCACAAGAAGTCGGCGTCACTGAGGCAGGATGGTGCGGTACAGAACTACCCTGTTACCGGTCAGAAGCTATCGCGATGTCGTGCCTGCAGCCCTCCTCTGTGTACAGCTCTGTACACAGCACCCATGCAGGGCACAGGCCTGGTCCTGGTCCTGGTCCTGCCCTCACCCGTAGCTCCAGCCTGGAGGAAACGCAGGGAGTTTGGGCCGAACCCACAAACCAAGCAAAGGTCTGACGTGCCCCGAGCCCCTGAGGCTGCTGTGAGCACCAGCTCGGAGCAACGCACCACTTAAATACTAAATACAGCTGCACAGGGGCTTGCAAATTAAAACACGCAACGCACGCGGTGGGCCAGGCCCCGGCTCTGGGACGGGAAGGGGCTGTCCCTGCCCTCGTGCGGTGCCATCGGCCCCAGCAGCAGCGGCTGGGGCTGTGCCGTGACCTCTGCTGGGTGCAGGACAGGGCCCAAATGTGACCTGAGAGCTGGTCTGAGAGCCATTTCCCCTCCTCACCTGCATTTATTAAAACGCCATGAGAAAGCAGAAAACACTGGGGCGGAAAAAAACAGCCTGTGCCGAAACCAGACCTCATTGAACTGCGTCTGCGAGGGGGGACCGGGAGCCTCGGCGCGCCCCAGCTGCCCACTGAGGCGCAGGACTTGACCCCATCCCATGACGAGCCGAGCGGAGACGGGCTTTTGCCTTCACCTCCTCACCACACCTCAAATTTGGGGAGGGAAACAACGTGGCCCCGTTTCCCTCGGGGCTGCGTTAGCACAGATCTCACAGGGGAACAAGTGGCAGCATCCGTGGCTGCCTGCGCTCCACCCACGGCCCACAGCAGGACCCCTCCAGGGCCCTCCCGCCCCGGGAAAGCACCAAAGCTCCGTCACTCCTGGCCAAACCCTTCTGTCTCCTCGATGGCGTAAAGCAGCTTCTCCTTCAGCTGCTCGTAGCTCTTGTAGGGAGGGAGATCCAGGCGGTTAAAGCTGCAGAGACAGTGAAAAATGTTGCTGTCCCCATTCTCCTCCCCATGGCCGGGTCCCCTCTGGCCTCACCCACAGCCAGCCGCAGCAACAAGGACATGGCCAGGAACGGCCGCGGGCCCCCCTCTGCCCTCCTCCACACCCAGCCGCAGCAACAAGGACATGGCCAGGAACGGCAGCCACGTCCCATGGAATTGGGGATGGAGGGGACAGGGGGCATCCAGAGCCCTGTGCAGCCTCCCCCCACAATGCACGTCCCCATGTGCTCCTAATGGGGCGAGGAGAAGCCAGCGACTCACCACGTGTGGCTCCGGGGCAGCCACGTCTCTTTGCCAACTTTATCGATGCAGAATTTCTGGGGCCCGTTGCTGCCTGTTAATGAGGAGCACAGCAAATCTCGTTACGTGAGCAGGAGCTGGGGAAGAAAACTCTAATGTGCCACCAGCAAATCGCATCCTCATTGTCCCAGAGACGCATCTGGGCCTAAATCCACAGCAGCACCCACAGCCTCTGACCCCCCCAGAGGGGATGTACAGAAAACAAGAACACCAAAAAGCACCTGCACGGCATAGAGAGGTAAGGATAAGCAGGAGGGTTAAGTGGCCCAGTGCTAAAAAGCTCTTGATCCACAGGTCCACAGGCCTGAGCTCACCCCTCTGAGTTTTACAGGACCGGGCTCAGGAAGTCTGAGTCACCGAGGTCGCTTTTTAACAGATTGTGAGCGCTGGAGAGGCTCCAGGGGGCTGGAAAACAGCGAAGATCTGCCAGGAGGAACGACTGAGTGGCCTACGCTCGCTGGTTGGCTTGACACCGATTCCAGGAAAGTGAGGGAACGGCTGGAACAGGCCTCAAGAAGTAGGAAATTAAAGGATGCGAGCAGGATAACGCCACACGGTGGCTTTCTGGAACAGGGCTTTCGTCGCACAGAAAATCAAGATTAAATCAAAAATCTCGTTCAGAACGAGACGACGGCTGGGCTGACAAAGTCAACCACGCGGCACCGTTCACGGCTGAGGAATTTGGGGACAGCGCGCAGCCGGATCACAGCGCCGTGCTCAGACATCACCGATGCCCCAGGGCCGCGGACTGCATGGCGATGGGAGCCTCCCCAGGACCCCCAGAGCCTCCCCAGAACCCCCCAGAGCCTCCCCAGACCCTTAGAGCCTCCCCAGACCCCATCGAGCCTCTGCACAACCCCCAGAGCTTCCCCAGACCCCCAGAGCCTCCTCAGGACCCCCAGACCCAGCACCGGACACACGCACCGATGAGCTCGGCGAAGCCCCCAACAGGCAGGCGGCAGGTCCCGGTCACGAACTGCAGCAGCCGGATCCTCTTCTCGTTGTCCATCTCTTTAACCACCTACGATGGGAACGGGGCAGGAGAGTGGGATCCCTGGGGTCCTGCACCCTGAGGGGTCTGCAGGGAGCAGCTCTGCCCCCCGTGCCCTCCTCCAGAGCCATGTGTGACCCCCACGCTCGCCCCGTTACCCGTCCCCCTCCCATGCAGCCATTGCTAGAAGCACACTGACCACTAAGTGCTGCCTTGGTGTCCTCAGCAGCGGCACTGAGGCCTCCGCCAGCCACAGCTGAACACTTCTTGCTGTGCTTTGCTCCTCCCAACAGCCCGGCGAGGCTGCCTGTCCCGGGCAGGGGACAATCCTGGGCTGGGCAGGGGGACGGAGGCGCTGGGTGCTGGGACTGACCTGCCAGAACCACTGGATCTGTTTGCTGTTCTTGGTGTAGTGCCGGTAGATAGTGTTCTTCTGCCAGTCGTTCATGTCGATCTCCTGCATGCCGCACAGCATCAGCTGGGGACAAGGGGCAGTCAGCGAGGGGACCCAAACGGGGCCCTGCGTCAAGAGCGCCGACCCCTCCGGTGCGGGGCTGCACCAGGCACAGGCTCCAGCACCGGACAACAGAGGCGTTTGGGAGGAATCCCTCCCCTCTCACAAGGCATTTTGGGAATCATGAGCTGGATGGAGGATGAGAGCAGAGCCTGTGTGCTCTGTTATCCCTGTGTCCCATTCCTGGGGCAGCCTGGGGTGGGTTGGGAAGCACCGGTACCCCCGTGTCCCTGTCCCAGCACAGGCACCAGCTCACCTCCAGCTCCTTCTCATCGAAGTAGCGCAGCCACTCCAGGGGCACCACCTCGTTGAAGCCGTCCAGGAAAGCCTTGGTCTGCTCCTCCACGCCCCGCGTGAA